TCTCTCTCGCTCGCTCTCTAATAAATAAATAAATAAAATCTTTAAAAAAAAAAAAAAGTAAGAGAGAGGGGCCTGGGCAGAGGCCCTCTGGGTCCCTGACCACTTTCTCCCCTCAGGTCTCTTGGAGTTGAAAGCCCTGAAGCCGGGGGTCATTCAAATCTTGGGTGTGAAAACATCCAGGTTCCTGTGCCAGGACCCGGATGGGACACTGTATGGATCGGTGAGTTTCCGGGGTCCCCCTCCTTGTGGTCCCCCTTTCCTCACGTCCTCTTTGGCCATCTGGGCTACCACGTCTGGCACCTGCGGCCTGGGCCACGACTGGTCCTGTGCTCTCCACGTGCCTGCTCCACGCCAGCACCCCATGTGCATGTGGGAGCTGACCTTATCAATGTTTACAAGAAGAGGAAACTGAGGCTTACGCAGGGACACACCAGCTGCCAGTTACGAGGCCTGTGAATGACAGAGTGGCCTGAGAGGCTGAGTCTTGTGACTCGGGACCGCTGGTGGCCGCATGGGCTCCTACATGTCCCGTTCCTGCTGGGCAAAGGGTTGCTCTGAGGACCTATGGCCTATAAAGTAACCGTGACCTCTGGGGGGAAGCCAGACGCCCTTGTCTGGACTCAGAGAGCCTCGACTGGAATATTCCTGTCTGTGAAGTGGGGACGGGGAGGTGGGCCTTGCAGGACTGCTCAGGGGGGAAGGAGGAGCCTGCTGCTGTTGTTCTTGTCCTGGGGGAGGGGGCTGGGGACCTGGACTCTGGATCTGAGGGAGGAGGGGCTCCCCCAGCTCCCTAGGAGTGTCTGTACTCCTGTATCCTGTTGGAAGAGAGCACTCTGTGGTCTGAAAGAAGAGAGAGCTGGGGGCCCGGACGTCTGGGTCTGAGGGAGGAGGGCGCCAGGGGCCCGGACACCTGGGTCCTGCAGCAGGAAGGTGTGAAGGAATCCTATATCTCTGATCTGTCTTCTCGTCCCCTCAGCTCCACTTCGACCCCATAGCCTGCAGCTTCCGGGAACTGCTTCTCGAGGATGGGTATAACATCTACCGCTCCGAGACACTCGGCCTCCCACTTCGCCTGCTCCCCCACAACTCCCCATACCGGGACCTGGCGCCCTGGGGATCTGCCCGCTTCCTGCCCCTGCCCGGCCTGCTTCCGGCCCCCCCGGACTCTCCAGGGATCCCAGCCCCCGAGCCTCCCGACGTGGGCTCCTCGGACCCCCTGAGCATGGTGGGGCCTTCGCAGGGCCGAAGTCCCAGCTACGCTTCCTGAAGCCACGGGCTGTTTATTATGGGGTCTCCTCTATTTACTGGGTTATTTATCTTATTTATTTTTTTATTTTTCTTACTCGGGATAATAAAGAATCTGAGAGGAGGACCCGGGTGAGCCTGTGTGTTTGAGGGAGGATATGGGATCCGGCTGCCTTGTCTCCCATCGACCCCAAGAACCCTTGCGCCCATTGTCAGGAGGCTGCGGGAAGGTCCCAATCGCCCTCTGGGCCTCAGTTTTCTGCTCTGCTTAGGTGTCCCCAGGGACTCTGGACTATCCCTGCCCTTTGACAGGAGAAGGCTTGTTAACCTCCCCGCCTCCCCCACCCACGCCCAACTTCGTGCTTGTGTTGTGGAACTATTTTTCTGAGGTCCCTCAATAACAGGGGAACATTTAAACAATGACACCACAGACCTACAGCCTCATGGGAGATAGAGTTCTCTGGGTCCACTTAGCACGAGGAGTTGGATAACATCTGGGTCCTCAGGGCCGGGTCAAGGACTCTTGGATCCTAGGGTTTTTGGGGGTTTTTTAAAAGATTTTATTTATTTATTTGACAGAGAGAGACACAGCGAGAGAGGGAACACAAGCAGGGGGAGTGGGAGAGGGAGAAGCAGGCTTCCCGCTGAGCAGGGAGCCCGATGCGGGGCTCGATCCCAGGACCCTGGGATCATGACCTGAGCCGAAAGCAGACGCTTAATGACTGAGCCACCCAGGCGCCCCGGATCCTAGGTGTTTAATTGGTGTTAGATGGGACACTTGGGTCCTGAGAGATCAGAGAGCTGGACATCTGGACACCTGGGTCCCAGGAGAACAGGGGAAGAGGAACGTGGAACCCTGGTCTGAGGGAAGGACTGGAGGGTGGGAGTCCTGATTCTCAGGAGGAGCACTTAAGGATCTAAATGCATCCATCCAGGTACTTATGGACGCGGGAGTATAACCACTGTCACAGACTCCAGTCCCAGTGAGTGAGTTGCCCGTTCTCCCTCCCTTCCCACCACCTAGATTTCCACATTGCTCCTTGGGTTATTTCCCGGTTAGGAAAGTTGGGAGGACGGAGATACAACACCTGCCCGGGGTTATGGTCAGCGCCCTCTGGGTCCCGGGTGTCTGACCCACTACTGCAGCCTCTCGGGAGTTGTGGTCTTGGACCCCTCATTTTTAATCCCCACGTTCAAATGAGAGGAACATCTCAGTGGAAGGGCGGGGATATCAGTGCAGGTCCCAGCTGCTCATGGGAGGGATTCAAGGCCCAGAGGAGGTGAAAGTCTGCATCTCGTGGATGGGCAGTTTTCCACTCAGATGGCACGAGGCTGGCTCAGGTGGGGGACAGCGTTGTCACTGGAAGCAGAAGCTGAGATGCCAAAAAAGTCACCGGAAAGAGAGTTTTCATTCCTGGCGGGGAGCTTCACCGGAGATGTAGGTTCTTCGTCAGAAGAGTCTGCCTGCCTCAGGAAAGATCTCCCTCGAGATCTGCCCCATCACCTCTCACTGCTTCTAGACTCCATTCTGGTAGCTTCCACAGGGTGAGGTGCAAAGTGTGGTCAGTGAAGAGCTACGAAGCACACCCAAAGAACAGCGGCATCTCGCCCTTGAAATTGGCAGTGACCTGGGGGGCCAGTCTGGGAAGGGAACTTGTTAGAAATGCACATTCCCGACCCCGGACCTCTTGAATCAAAAAATTCTGGGGACTAGGCAAACTCCTAGGCACAGAAATCAGCTTAGTGGTTACCCCCCAACTGGCAGGAGGGTGGAACAGGGAGCCTATTATTTCCCCCCCGGGGCTTGCCATAACAAAGTACCACAAACTGAGTGACCTAAAACAACAGAAATTTGCTCTCTCATGGTTCTGGGGCAAAAAAGTCTGAAATCAAGGTGTTGGCAGGGCCAGGCTCTCTCCAAAGGTTCTCAGGGAGGAGACTTCTTTGCTTCTTCCCAGCTTCTGATGGTCACTGGCAATCCTTGGCATCCCTTGGCTTATAGACATGTCACTCCAAATCTCCATCTCCATCTTTATATGGCCTTTTCCCCAAGTGTCTGTGTGTGTCTGTGTCTAAATTGCCCTCTTGCAAGGACACCAGTCATATCAGATTTAGGACCTAGTCTAATCCAGGATGACCTCATCTTAATTTAATTACATCTACAAAGACCCTATTTCCAAATAAGGCCACATTCACGGGTTTCAGGAGAACATGAATTTCCAGGGGATGCTATTGAACTCAGTATGTACCCTGGCAGTTTCCTACTCTCATCTGGTCTCGCTCACGTATAAGTATATTTAGGAGGGGTGTGGGCCAGGAAAGCTCTCCTGGGCTCAGAGTTCTTAAAGTTTACTCTTTGCTCTTTCCAGATGGTATTTAAAAATATAACCTCTCTTGGGGCGCCTGGGCGGCTCAGTCAGTTAAGTGTCTGCCATTGGCTCAGGTTGTAGTCCTGGGGTCCTGGGATTGAGCCCCGAGTCCAGCTTCCTGCTCAGTGGGGGGTTTGCTTCTCCCTCTCCCTCTGTCCCTGCTCATGTGCTCTCTCTCACTCGCTCACACTCTCTCTCCCAAATAAATAAATCTTTAAAATAAATAAATAAAATAAAACCTCTCTTATTGGGGCACCTGGCTGGCTCAGTAGGAAGAGCATGTGACTCTTGATCTCAGGGTTGTAGGTTCGAGCCCCACGTTGGGTGTAGAGATTACTTAAAAATAAAATCTTTAAAAAAGGAAAAAATACATATATATAACCTCTCAGTATATCAAACTCTCCAAAATTGTGTAGACAGATCTATTTCCTCCCCCACCAGTATCTGAACCTTTTCTCCCGGAGTTCCGGCCAAAATAAATCTGGGTTCTCCTTCCATTAATTTTCACAAGAATAGAGCTTAGTCCAACCACTAAAAAGAAAGGATAATTATGTAACCCGATAGAGGTGCTCATTATTGCTATAATGGCAATCATATTACAGTATGTAAATGTATCAAATGAACATGCCATGCGCCTTGAATTTATTTATTTATTTATTTATTTTAAAGATTTATTTATTTGACACAGAGAGACAGCTAGAGAGGAAACACAAGCAGGGGGAGTAGAAGAGGGAGAAGCAGGCTCCTGGCTGAGCAGGGAGCCCGATGCGAGGCTCGATCCCAGGACCCTGGGATCATGACCTGAGCCGAAGGCAGACACTTAACGACTGAGCCACCCAGGCGCCCCTCGCACCTTGAATTTATACAATGTTATATGTCAACTATATTTCAATAACATTTTTTTAAAGCACGGAGCTTTGTCCTCCCAAATGAGAGATTCTTGGGGGGGCCTGAGTGGCTCAGTCTGTTAAGCGGCAGACTCTTTTTTTTTTCCTCTAAGATTTATTCATTTATTTGTTTGTTTGTTTGTTTGAGAGAGAGCACGAGAAAGAGAGAGAGAGAGAGCACAAGCAGGGGGAGAGGCAAAGGGAGGAGCAGGCTCCCTGCTGAGCTGGGAGCCCAATACTCAGTCCCAGCACCCTGGGATCATGACCTGAGCCTAAGGCAGACACTTAACTGACTGAGCCACCCAGGAGGCCCAAGCAGTGGACTCTTAATGTTAGCTCAGGTCTTGATCTCAGGGTTGTGAGTTCAAGCCCCAGGTCGTCTCCATGCTGGGTGTGGAGCCTACTTAAAAAAGAGAGAGATTCTGCTGAGGAACTGTGAGATCTCAGGGGACCCAGACCCCCACCCCAGCATCTTCCAACCTTCCCATCATCTGGACACCACCTACTATACTAATTGGAGCTGTGAGCCAGGGCGCGCGCGCGCGCACACACACACACACTCACTCACACTCACACACTCTCACACACTCACACACACACACTATTTGAGTGCGGCTGTTCTAACTGCTCTCACCAAGTCCTCAGCTATGAAGGCAACCTCTCCTCTAGGGGTGGGGGCTGGGGAGAAACTTCCAGGCTTGCTAGTTTCCTTTCCTTCCTATACCGCTATACTGGGACTGGCTCCGCCCCCACTCGTATTTCAGGGCTCCGTGGGGGCTCCATTGTCAGCTGGTTTTGTGCAAGATGTCATTTGTGAGTTTTTGCTGTCCTAGTTGCTGTACCTGGATTTGCTTCTGTTGTTTTGTGGGGATGGGGCTGGAGGAGCGGGTTGGGGTGGGAAGATTAAGAGATCGTGCTACCCAACCTGAATCTCATCGTGAGGAGACATCAAACATTTTTCAGTCAGGAGGCCTTCTGCCAAACAACTGGCCTTGACTCTTCAAAAAAGTCAAGGTCGAGAAAGAGGAAGATGGAGGGCAAGTTCCCATTAATGGACGCCAGCAGCAGTCCTTTGAGCAATCAGGTGATATCCCGGTTGTGAGTAAGACACCTGATGAAATTTGAATGAGCTCCGTGCATTAGATAGTAGTAATTGATCCATGTGAAATTTTCTGACTTGGATCATTGCATTGTGGTTATTAAAAAGAATGTCCTTGGGGCACCTGGGTGGCTCAGTTGGTTAAGCGACTGCCTTCGGCTCAGGTCATGGTCTTGGAGTCCCTGGATCGAGTCCCGCATCGGGCTCCCTGCTTGGCAGGGAGTCTGCTTCTCCCTCTGACCCTCCCCCCTCTCATGT